GGGGAGGGGGAAAGGGAGGAGGAGGAGGAGGAGGAGGAGGAGGAGGAGAAGGAGGAGGAGGAGGGGGAGGGGGAGGAGGAAGAGGAGGAGGAGGAGGAGGAGGAGGAAGAGGAGGAGGAGGAGGAGGAGGAGAATGATGATGATGATGATGATGATGATGATTGATGATGAGGAGGAGGAGAGAGGAGGGGGAGGAGGAGGAGGAGGAGGAGGAGGAGGAGGAGGAGGAGGAGGAGGAGGACGAGAACGAGGAGGAGGAGGAGGAGGAGGAGAAGAAGGATGATGATGCTGATGATGATGATGATGATGATGATGATGATGATGGGGAGGATGGGGAGGAGGAGGAGGAGGAGCAGGAGGAGGAGGACGAGAACGAGGAGGAGAAGGAGGAGGGAATAGAGAGAGAGAGAGGGAGGGATGGAGAAACTGAGGAGGAAGAGGATAATGCCTCTTGGGAATCCGAGGGGCGTCCCACTTCCGCTACGCGATTCGCAGCGCCGACGAGGATAATGTACATGATGGGAAGAAAAACGTCGACGTTGCTGTGTTTTTTGACAGGTAGGACGGGCGGTCCCGCGTAGGATTGGCCAGGCGTCCGCGCGCGATGTGCGCCGCGTCCCAGTCCTGCTACACTTTTCGCAGCGTCGACGACAAGAAAGCCCATGCTGACGAGACAAACGTTGACTTTGTATTGTGTGTTGATGGGTAGGACGCGACCACCCGCTTCCGGTTACCCAAGTGTTCATTCCGTCCCAGTCCTGCTCCAATCTTCGCAATTCGACGACATGTTGGCGAGAAAAAATAGTCCGCGATGTTTTTTTGACAATTCGGACGGCGAAGTTGCCATCGGCCGGCTAGGTGGGGATGTCGTGGTGTTTGAACAAAGGAAGCAGGGGTAAACCTCCCCCCGAACGAGAAGAAGTGGTTGTGGAAGAGGGGAGAGGAATCTCGTTCGACCACCTGTCGCCCAGAGGGCTGGTGGGATTTTCATTGTTTAAGATACGTATTGTTGATGCCCCTCCGGGGCACATGGTTTATTTTCAATTTGCGCGCCCTTCCCGAGGCTCGCATTTATAGTACAATATCAAAAAATACCGGGGAAGTCTTCAGTGTCAGAATAGGGTTGTTGGCCCCAGTTGACAAACCAACAAAAACAACAATCATTTTAATACTGGTCGCTCCTACCGGTTCGCGTGCCAATGCGTACGTATATCCCAAACCCTCGGTTCCCGCCCTCGTCGTCTTCGATCGTACCCCTTTTGGGGTATATCTTCCTAGCCGGCCACGTGTATTTAGTGCAGCCCCTGAAACAGAGGATAAGGGACGGGTCGAAAAGGGGGAGGGAAAAGAAGGGAACATGAGAGAAATTAGCAGGAGGGGGTCAAGTAACAGAAAACAAGTGGTATAACCAGACGGGCAGACAGGGTGGGCAGACCCGTAGCGGTCAGGTCGGGAAGGCGGGCCCAGGCGACGAGGTCGAGCAGGCGGGTTGCTGAAGCGTGGGTCCTGCATGAGTCGCGAGGGCCACGAAGGGCATAAAGTCCGAGGCCACAGAGGGCAGCGACGGGGCCGCTGAGGGCGGCACTAGGACCACGAAGGGCAGCGAGGGGGCCACAAAGGGTGACAGCGGGGCCACGAAGGGCATGCGTATGGGGCCACGACGGGCGCGAGCGAGCGGGGGCCATGAAGGGCATTCGTACACGGGGCCACAAAGGGCGACAGCGGGTCCGCTGAGGGCAGCAGAGGGGCCACGAAGGGCAGCGAGAGGGCTACGAATGTCGACGGCTGGGCTACGAAGGGGATGCGTATGGGGCCACGACAGGCGCGTGCGAGCGGGGGCCACGAAGGGCATATGATGCGGGGCCACATACGGCAGCGACGGGGCCACTGATGGCGACAACGGGGCCACGAAGGACAGCGCGCGAAGGCGACCGCGGAACCAGTACGGCAGCGAGTGGCATCGAAGGCGGGCGAATGGCAGCGAGCGGCGACTGCAGTCATTAACGGGCGAGTCGACCGGGCGGGTAGTGGAAGCGCGAGTCCTGTTTGAATCGCTTCAGTGTCGAGGACTGGCATCTGAATGAATTGTGAGGAAATATCAAGCGAATTGTTTGGGGGGTAAGTTGCGAGGAAGTCCCAAGCCAGAACGCGATTCTGCAATCAATTTTCGGGAAGTATCAGGTGGGAACCGCGATTCGGTGGTAAATTGGCAGGAAGTCCCATACGAGAGCGCGATTCTTTAACCAATTGAGGAAGTATCAGGCGGGAACCGCTGTTGTTGTCAACCAGGGGCCAACGACACAGTTTGACTTTCAAGACTTATACATCTATACATATATATATATATATATATTAAAAGTAAGGAAAAACAAAAACAGGGTTCGAGCCCCGGGGGGGGCACTTCAGTAGAAAAATACAATGTGCACCGGGCGGAGGAGATGAACAATAATTGCTCTTCAGAAGTGAGAGTTCTTCTTCTTCAACAACAATAACAACAACGGATCCCGTTTGATATTTCTCACAATTTGTTCCCACATCGCGCTCTCGCGCGGGACTCCTTACACATTCTACAGGAATCGTGCACTCGCGTGGGACTTCTTCGCAAGTTATTCAGACGCCGCGCCATCGACACTCAGGAATCACGCTCTCGCTCTGGCCTTTCTCACGATGCACCTGAGAATCGCGCTGTTGTTCGAAGCTTCCTCGCGATTCATGCAGGACGCACGCTTCAGCAACCCGCCTGCTCGACCTGGCCGCCAGGGCGCGCCTTCCCGACCCGCCCGCTGGGGCCTACCCGCCCGATCTTCCGGCAGTTTTCTGCTCCTGGCCCCCCTCCTGCTACTCTCTCTCGTGCTCCGTCCTCCTCCCTCCCCCCTGTCCCTTCCTTCCATCCGTCCTCTCGTCCCCTGCCCTGGGGGCTGCACGAAATACACGTTGCAGTTGAGAAAGATATACCCCTAAGGGGATACGATCCAGGACGAAGAGGAACGAGTATCGAGAGTTTGGGATATACGTGTTCAACGTGTTGAACGGCCCGCGAGCAGACAGGAGCGAACTGTTGTACAATGAATGTTATTGTTGTTGCTGCTGCTTTTGTTGTGGGTGTTTGTTTGTTTGTATGTTTGTTTGTTTGTTTGTCGTTGTCGTTGTCGTTGTCGTTGTCGTCGTTGCCGTTGTCGTTGTCGTTGTCGTTGTCGTTGTTGCTGCTGCTGTTGTCGTAGTTGTTGAACTCTCACTACTGAAGAATAATCGCTACTGAAGTCTTGTTGATTCCCCCTCTGGGGCACCTCATGTTTTTTGAATTGAAGTGCCCTTCCCGGGGCTCGCACCCTGTTGTTTTGTATGGAAAGTCTTGGGTCTCAGACTTGTGTCGTTGGGCCCCAAACTACAGCAACAACGGCTCCCGCCTGGTACATCCTCACAACTTATTCCCAAGGCGCGCTCTCGCGCGGGACTTCTCACAGTGTCTGCAAACACCGCGCCCTCGACGCTCAGGAATAATGTGCTGGCGCCGCCTGGGAGTCGGCAGCCCCGAGCCGTTCTTGCACGGCGCGGGCGCGAATCGAGAAACGTCACCGGTAGGGGGGGGAGGGTGGTGGGGCGTACCTTACCAGCCTGGAACATGTCCCTATCCCTATGCTGGGCACCTCCTCATCACGATGCCAATCTTGGGGATTCCCTTACTTTTTGAGGGCGCATCCCTAAGATTGTCATCGCCTTTTGGCGTGTCAATTTTAGGGATAGGGATCAGTTCGAGGCTGGTAAGTACCCGGCAGCGGGCGTTGACCCGAATCGTCAGGACGCGCTCTTGGGTGCCTCTCGCGGCGGTCTTTGGGGCTGCCTCTCTTTGGCCGTGGCGTCCGACCCCCATCGGCCAAAAGGTGTGTGGTCGGAGAGAACTCCTCCTCCTCCGCCTCCGCCTCCGCCTCCTCCTCCTCCTCCTCTTCCTCCTCCTCGTGGCCGAAAGCGTGCCCGAAGTTGTGACGGATATCGTAGTGCGGCCGAGAGTGCGGCCGGCGTTGGAGATCGTATGGGCCTCGAGGCAAACATTTCGGTCACTCCCGGGACGCGGTCGGAAAATGTTGGGCGCTGGTTGTGGTCAAGCTCGCTCGGGCGGATTTTCGGGCAGAGTTTCGGTCACTACACCCCTCTGGTAGAGACGAGGCTGCGTGAAAGAAGTGGGAGTGGTCCAGAACTGTTTGTTCTTTGGTGTTCCTCTTGGACTGCCACCGCACAGGGCCATAATCATTGTGCTCTATCTCATTCGTTTGTTGCATGTCCGGGTCTTCGGCCTTAGAGACGGGAAGTAATGCTTTGAAGCTTGGTGGTCCGTCGAAGCTTGGCCCGTGGGGACGGAGCCGTTAGGCCCTTCGCCCAGAGATCGTGAGGACTGGAGGGAGGAGCTCGGTGAGGCTACTCGCTGCCACCAGCTGCCCAGGGGCTGGATTCCACCATCACCATGACACTAGGTGCTGGACATATTGCGAAGGCCTTACGGCCGGTGCCGCCGACCCTGGAGGGCGACCCATGCGTTCTCGTATGTGGCGGCGGCGGCTCGGGCGGCTCAGGCGCGGCCCCGAAACAATAAAGAATCCCTACGTGCAGTACTTGCGGGGGGGGGGCGTCGTATCTGAGTGGCGCCCCCCCCCCGGGACCTCTCCGCTACCCCCCCCCCCTCCCGGCGGGGGAGGGATCAAAGGGAAGGGGCTTCCCTTCGACTCAAATACGACGTTGCTGAAGTTCATTTGGGCTGGCGCGCTTGAGCAGGGGCCCCTGCTGGGAAAGAGGACGGGAGTGGCGACGGGCCCACGGAAAGGGAGGCGCAAGGAAGGGGGACGACAGAGACGACGACCAACGAACAACGGGGATGACGTCTCGAACGGAAAAGCCCCTCACACACGCCGACAGGGTCGGCGGATTTCTGAAGCGTAGTTAATATCAGACCCACGGCCCATGGCTATCCATCGTGGCCACAGTTTTTCATCATCGCCGCAGCGATTCAACTTCCGCAGCCGCCTGGGCTCAGGAGGTTTGGCTGCATAGACGATGCGCGCATCAGGCTGAGACGCCGCAGACGATGCGCACTCCTTCCGGCAGCACAATCAGTTCACCAGTGGCTAAGCGGAACCCCGAAGCCACTTCCGAGTCAGAGTGCCGCTCGGGCGCGGGCGGCTGCAGGACAAGCTGCCTCGAGGAGCGCGGCGCTGCGCCCGCGGAGCGCGAGCGCGGCGCCCCGCCCACCGCCGTGGCCGCAACCCAGACGGAGGCCGTCGTCTGCGTGCCTCGCGCTCCACCCCTGCCGCTGCGCCTGATCGGCCTGGACGTCCACGCGCCCGCCGCGGAGCCGGCGGAGCTCAGTATCGTCCCAGTCAGCCCGCATAGTAGGGATGAGCAGCTTTCCAAGGTTACAGTCGGGGCGCTGCAGAAGGAACCCCTTTTCGTTGGGGAGGGCCTCGGTGTTCCTTGAGTGTTCAACTGTCTGCCTCAGGTTTTCCTGAGGTCTTCCATTGGAAATCGAAGTTTAACTAATGGGAAACAGGGGCCTCGTTCCTTATTTAGGGTTCCTTAGGTCAACGCCCCGGCTGTACCCCTGCATCCTTCCCCTTCGGCCCATCCTTGGCCGCTTTCGCTGGCCGCTCCCCGCTCGCAAAGTGTCGGCATGGCCTTCCAGAGGCCCTTGCATCCTTGTCGTGCGTCCTCATTCTACGGTTCGATGGTGACCCATCCCCACCCCCCCGGGGCCACGGCATCCCAGCCCCACCGTGCCACTCCCCAGTGGGGGATGGGCCCCTCGAGTCCCGAGGGTAGCAGCACACATCCCCGTCCAGGGGGCCAAATCAGCCAGTGGGGTCCACGTCGCGCCAGTGGGGATGCAGTCGGGACCTCTTGAGCTTGGGCACAGGTCGGATTCGGAAGCGGCGCGCGGCGTCGGAGCTTCCTCCAGTGTGGCCGTTCCTCTGGCGCCCCTCGTGCACCCGCACGCAAGTTGGCACGGAACACGGGCCCCGCTGCTTGTCAGGAGGAGGAGGAGGAGGAGCAGGAGGAGGAGGAGGAGGAGGAGGAGGACGACGAGGACGAGGAGGAAGCATCCCTTCTGGCAGCACGACGACCGCAGGGATCCTTTCCAGCGCTGCCCACAGGAGCCAGCGGCGCCAGCCTGCGCGCGCGCCGGCGGGGGCCTCGCGGTGGCGCCCCCCGGGCTGCCTCCCCCGGGCGCCGCTGGGCCGGCGGAGCCGGAGCAGCGCCGGAGGCTGAGCACCGCCGCCCCCTGCTTCGTCCCGGCGTGGGCGGGCGAGAGGAGGGCAACGAACGGTGGCAGGAAGTCAATCTCGCCCGCGGCGGGGCCGCCTCACGCGCTCGCGCTCACCACCGTGATGCTGCGCAACGTGCCGAACAACTACACGCGGGAGAGAGCAGAGGGGCAAAGGCAGCGGCGGGGAGTCCTGGCCCAGCCCATGGGCCCACCAAGGAGTGTTCCAAGAACCTTTTTCTGAGTGGTTTGCACCAGAGTGCTCTCGGAGCAGCTGTGGCCGAGACCGCCTTCCTGTCACACATCGCCCTTCATGCTGCAAGAACACTGCTGGTGGCTTTTGGAACACTGTCTGGTGGAATGCCGGGGCGGGCGGTCCCTGCCCAGGAAGAAGGGCAGGTGCCGACGCCGCTGCCCGCCCCTCGTCGCCGCGGCTGGGTTCGCCCAGGGCTCCTGGTCGGAGCTCACCCCTGGAGCGGCCCAGGGAGCAGCGGTGCCGGCGTCTTCTTGCTTCCTCAGGAGACGCTCGTGCAGCTTCTCGACCACGAGGGGTTCTCCCACCAGTACGATCTGGAGGGCTGTCTGTGCTTTCTGCCGCGGTGCCCCCCATGCAGGTGCAGGCATCCTTGTGGCCGTTCTCGTCCTCGGGGCAGTCCTCTGGGGCGGCAGTCCTGGGGCCCGTCGTGGGACTCTGGGGCCTCGGGTGCTCTCCTCCTCCTCCTCCTCCTCCTCCTTCTCTTCATCCTCCACCTCGCTCCTCCTCCTCCTCCCCCTCCTCCTCCACCCCCTCCCTCTGTCTCCCCGCCCCTCTTCCTCTTCCTCCTCCTCTCCTCCTCCTCCTCACTCCTCCTCACTCCTCCTCCTCCTCATCACTCCTCCTCCTCCTCACTCCTCCTCCTCCTCACTCCTCCTCCTCCTCCTCCTCCTCCTCCTCCTGGAGTCCTTTGGTGGCACCGTCTTCGGGCCTTGCCAGGCTATCCTGGTGAGAAGGCGAACCAAGAGATCCAGCCGCGAACCCCGGGCCCGACGGGGAGCAAATCCTCGGCCGAACGGGGATTTGTTTCGGGCGAACGGGGAAACTCTCCAGGAGCTCACGGGATTTGTCCCTGTCGAACGGGGGAATTTTCCTGGTTCAAACGTGACATGTTCTAGTCCGAGCGAGGACTGTTTCTTTCGCATTTGGGTCCTCGGGGATTAGTTCCGTTGCTCCTTGCGTTGTGCTTTTCGGCGCATTGCTTTGTTCCATGGTTCCGGCTTCCTATGGTTTCAGGTCTACGGGTTCTTTTGGGGGGTCGGGGCGTGCCATCTATATTGGATGTCGTCGCGTTGAGGCTTTCAGGGGTCCGCATTGCATCAGGCAGCCTTCGGCTGCACTTGCCTTGCGCTGGAATGTCCCTCACAGCGCGCGGCTCCTCGGCCGTCCTCAGCGGAAGTCCGCTAAAGTAGAGAGGCGGGTTCTGTGCTCTATGCCTTCTCATGTCTTGGTGTTTGGTGCTCTCACGTGCTATCATGCCGTTTTCTGTATGTCTAGTTGATTTTTGTTCGCATGTCGTTGACTTGTCGTGACGGCAGCTGGTTCCGTTTTTTGGAAGGTCGGGGGGGAGGTTCTCACCTTTGCTTTCGTCGGTCGTTCGTTCGATGCAGGCGGCGCCTCATCGGGCTGTCTCAGAGGCTCCCTCGGAGTCTTAGCATTTTCCGTGCGCTCTCTTTCACGATGTGCGTGTGTGTTTGTGTGTGTGTGTGTGCGCATGTGTGTGTGTGCTTGTGGGCACGCATGTGTGTGTGTGTGTGTGTGCACGTGTGTGTGTGTGTGTGTGTGTGTGCGTGCGTGCGTGCGTGCGTGCGTGCGCGTGTGTGTGTGTGTGTGTGTGAAAGTGTGTGTGTGTGTGTGCGTGCGTTGTGCGTGCGTGCGTGCGTGCGTGTGTGTGTGTGTGTGTGTGTGCGTGCGTGCGTGTGTGTGCGTGCGTGCGTGCGTGTGTGTGTGTGTGTGTGTGTGTGTATGTGCGTATGTGCGTGTGTGCGTGGGTATGTTTGTGTGTGCTGGAGACGGACGCTGACGAGTACTGGGCCGACTGCTGGCGAGGCAGTCGGGGCGGGCGTGCGGCGGCGGGCGGGCGCGTTCTTTACGGCAACTCTTGAGGGAACCGTCTGTGAAACGGTGGACGTGGAAACTTAATGCGCGCGTGTGTGTTTGTGTGTGTTGCAGACGGAGGCCGTGGAGTACTGTGTGTTATGTTGGAGGCGGAGGCTGTGCAGGGTGTGGTGATGCAGAGGCGGGCGGGGCGGGGGCGGGCTGGTTCGGGTTTTGAGTTCAACTTGGAAGGGAGCCGCCTCGGAGACGGAGGCTGTGGTCATATTGGATGGGGTGGACGGAGCCTGTAGAGCGCCGGGCCTCGTGCTGGAGACGCGGACTTTGGAGCAAGGGGCGTGACGCTGGAAGAGCGGGCTGAGCGGGCGGCGGGCGGGGGCGCCTGTGGAGTGCCGTGGCGTGTCGGAAACGGAGGCTGCGGAGCACTTGGTGTGGTGTTGGACAGGCGGGCGGGGCGGGCGGGGCGGGCGGCGGGCTGTGGCGGTGGGCGGCGCGTCTGGAGCGCGGGGGGCCGCCAGGGGCCTCAGCGTCTGGAGCGTTGTGTGTGTGTGTTGTGTGTGTGTTGTGTCTGTGTGTGCGTGTGTGTGTGTGATGTGTGTGTGTGTGTGATGTGTGTGTGTGTGTGTGTGTGTGTGTGTGTGCGTGCGTGTGTGTGTGTGTGTGTGTGTGTGTGTGTGTGTCTGTGCGTGTGTGCTTACGTGCGTGCGTGCGTGCGTGCGTGCGTGCGTGCGTGCGTGCGCGCGTGTGTGCGTGCGTGCGTGCGTGCGTGTGTCTACGTATACGTATATGCATCTGTAGTCCTGAGCTGCCTTCGAGGCGTGCAAGCTGTCCTGTGAGGTCACCTGAGGGCCCCAATTCGCTCATCCATGCAATGCTTGGGCTTGCTGGCGCCAGCCACGGGCCCTTGGGCACCGAAAAAGGTTTTGAAGCCTCTTGGGCCTCCCAGGGGGTCTCTTAGGGCCCTCTGTTGGAGCCTGTTGGCGAGTTCGAGGGTCGTATTGGGGCGGAGGGCTCGACATGCCAGCTCTAGGATGCCCCCTCTTGGGCTTCTCTTGGGCTTCGGGGCTTGTTGGGCCGTAATAGGGACCTCTTGGGCCGTCCAGGAGCGTTCTTGGGCCGTCTTGGGGCGGTGCCGCCTCTTGGGTAGTCTTGGGCGGTCGGAATCAACAACAACAATGCGAACGCTGAAATCTTTCAAACACCAAATGGAAAGCAATGAGTTTGGCATGTTTTGGCGCCCTCGATGGGGTCTCTCGGGGTCCTCTCGCTGCTGCTGAGAAACCTCTCCTGCTGTTCGGGGAAGGTCTGTAGTGTCTTGACACACGACTTGGCGGCCTCGGGGTGCACTTGGCGCCGTCTTGAGGCCCTCATCGGCCTCTGCGACACATCTGTGGAGCGGCAGAGATCCCCTAAAGGCCGAGAACGGGCCCCGGGACCCCGGGGGGGCTAAATTCGGTACCCAGGGTGCGGCCCCATGTGTCAGTGTGTGCCGGCGGGGGGCCAGGACGCCCAACTCTCCGACATTATGGTACACACACATATATATATATAGATACATTTGTGTATAGATGTATATATATATATATATATATGCATACGCAGACGGAGGCTGGCCCCATGTACTTATATATGTTACGATCTATATATATATATATGTTCATATGCACACATATATATATATGTACATATATATATGTGTACATATATATATATAGATATATGCATTTGTATATATATATATATAATTTAATGCACATATATGTATATATAGGTACACAAGACCGAACTCTACAACGTCGCGGCCTCAAGTGTTGCCCTGAACCAATGGCACGCTCCGATGACGCCCCGTGCCCGGAACGGCCGCCAACGCCGACGTCGCTGCTCGGCCCGCTGGACCTGGGGAAGCGTGAGCACAACAAGGATCTCGATGCACACATAGCCCGCGCAAGAGTGAGTATGACGTAAGGGAGGGCAGAGTAGAGAGCTGCCCTCTCTGAGAGGGCATCGGAAACTGATGCCCATGATATCATGGGCCCTTTGGGAGCATGACTCGTGTCACTGCTGGTTATCGGCCCCAGGGTGGAGGTCTGGTGGCGGCTGCCCAAGTGAAGCCAGGGACGGTAGGTATTGAAGCCAGGACAGGTCCGCCAACCAATTTCGTCATTGACGTTAGCATTGATCGTGTGCACTATGATCCCGCAAGAAAACACGCAATATCGAAACACTGGAGGATATAGCTTCGAGACTTCGTCTAGGGTGCGGGTCGGAGTGGACGTTACACTTCGGTGCTATCCCTGTGGATCCTGGACCTTCCCAACGCGCCGTCCTTGAATGCTCGATTTGCTAGTGGAGGGCTCACACGCAGGGTGTATCGGAGCAAGACAAATTGAGATAACGGCAACTCCAAATCGGTCCTCGGAACTTTCCCGGAGTCCAAACTCACGAGTTGTCCGAGACGCGTCCAGGAGGCCCCCCACAAAAACCAACTACCGAGGTTTCAACTCGCCCTCCTCCCCTCCTCTGAATATTCCGTGATCGTTGGTGACATCGGCTGGAGTCCAGCTGGCCCTGTGAGGTGTTAGCCTGAGGGGCTCTCGAGTCCTAGGGTGGGTCTCAGAGGCACTAGCCCACACCAATGTGAACACCACAAACAAAATCGAACACTTGGACGTACTTTATCAGAGGTCTGTTCACTGGTACTGGCAGTAACACAGGATACCTTCTCCAACTGAAGAGGATGATCCTGGATGTTGGTGCTGGTGGTAGCGAAAATTCCGTCGTCACCGGAGAAGCCCAAACGTTACCACCATCACCGAGATGGGGTCAGTTTCCCGCGATGGAGCAATCGCGGGCAATGGTATTGGAACCAGCTCCCAAGCCTCCGAAGACGAAGTAGCACGTGGGCCTGTCGTGAGCGGCATCCTGAAGCGCTCCGAAGATGCTCTTCATGAACTCGTTCGAACTGGAGCTTGGGCAGCACGTTAGATTGTTCTGAAAGCTCCCCTCGGCCACCAGGTTTGGTGGCTTCCAGACCTTCTGGTGAATGAAATCAGAAGCAATGCACGGGCCCACGCAGCAAATGACCATTTTTCCCACAGGGGGAAATGGGTGTTGGGGTGGGGAACGGCGGGGGGGGTGAAGGACCCTGCCAATACCACGGGAGGTTTACGAGCAGGACGTTGTGCACAGTTGCGTGCATGGCCGTAAATAACAGTACCGCAAGTGCTCGTAAACGTCACGAAGAGGCCTGCGAGCAAGAGCGCCGCAACACGCTGGTGAACACCGATGTGCTTGCGAACAGCACCGTGCGCGCGATCACCGCGAGAAACCTGCAACCGCCACGGCTCGCACGTGAGTGCAGCAACGTGCCGGTGGTCACCAGACGGAGGAACAAAAATGGCCAGCGGGCCCATGCACGTCGCAGGCTCTCGGCTGTACGCACCATCAACGTGCACACGAGCACACCTCGTGAACAGGAGCCTGC